CAGCCAGAGACACGAGTGCCCACGGCTGCAGACAGGTGCACAGCAGAGTCCGGCTGGTTGGGCCCCCGCTGCCCGCGGCTCCCTGCCCGGCTCCACTCCCCTCATCCTGGCCTTTGGCTCGACAGGAAGAGGCTGGGGCAGAGCACACGTGCTCCAACCTGCTCAACAGTCCTTCACCACCACCCATCCTGCAGACCTTGCTCTTCCACCAGGCAGCCCTTCACTGGCCCTGGCGTGGCTCTGTGCTGGGACCAAAGGACCGATATAGTCCAAGATTCCTCTAGGTCTTCCACAGGAGTGTGATGAATGTGACAAACACTGCTTAGAGCTCTCAGAGGAGTCTCCCTGGCAAGCAAAGCACTGTGCACAAGACGGTGCGGAAAAGCAAAGACTGGAGAGTAAACACATGAACCAGAGGACAGAGAGAGAGAATAATCAACAAAACCAAAAGATAGTTTTTGAAAAGATCCACAAAATTGACAAACTTTTAGCTAAATTAACTAAGAAAAAAGAGACCCCCCCAAAAAAAGAAAAGAGACAAGACTCAAATTACCAAAATCAGAAACAGAAGAGGGGACATAACTACCAACCTTCTAAAAATTAAAAGGATTACAAGGGAATATTATAAACAACTGGATATCAATAAATTAGATAACATAGATGAACAAATTTCTAAAAAGATATATAAAAACTACTCAAATTGAATCAAAAAGAAATAGAAAATTCTGAATCAACCTATAACAAGTAAAGAGACTGAATCAGTAACCAAAAAACACCCCACAAAGAAAACCTGAGGCCTACACTGATGGACTCTAACAAACGCTTAAAGAATAATTAATACCAATCCTCCAGAAACTCTTCTAAAAAATATGAGAAGGAAACACTTCTCAACTCATAAAAGGTGAGCATTACCCTGATACCAAAACCAGACAAACACACGCCAAGAAAAGAAAACCAAAGACCAACTTCCCTTATAAATAGGGACCCAAAATTCCTCAACAAAATACTAGCAATCAAATCCAGCAATACATACAATCTGAAAAAGGCATCTACAGAGACACACAGCTAACACTGTTACTTAATGGTGAAAGACTGGATGCTTTCTCCCAAGATCAGCAACAAGACAAGGCTATCCATTCTCACCACTTCTATTCAGCATTGTACAGGGGATTCTACCCAGGACAATCAGGCAAGACAACGAAATAAAAGGCATCCAGGTAGGAAAGGAAGAAGTAAAGTTATCTCTATTTGTAGAAATGATCTTGTATTTAGGAAATCCTACAGAATCTACTAAAAAGTTATTAGAACCAATAAACAAGTTTACCAAGGTTTCCAAATACAAGAGCAGTATATAAAAATATACTAGCAATGAACAAACTGAAAACAGAACTAAGAAAAGAGTTCCATTTACAATATAATCAGAAAGAATAAAAGACAGAAATAAATTTAACAAAAGGAGCATAAAATGTATACTCTGAAAACTATACATCCATTTAAAGAAATAAAAGAAAACCTAAAAAATACAAAGACATCCCATGTTCATGGATTGGAAGGCTTAATACTATTAAGATGGCAGTACTTCCTCAACTGATCTACAGATTCAGCCCAATTCTTATCAAAATCCCAGTTTACATTTATTGCAGAAATTGACAAACTGATCCTAAAATTCATATGGATATATGAAGGACACACAAGTAGCCAAAACAATCTTAAAAAAGAAAAATCACTTCCTGAGTTCAAAATTTGATAAAGCCACGTAATCAGGACGGTGTGGTACTGATGACACAGTGACAGACATGCAGATCACTGGAACAGAGCTTAGAGTCCTTACATTAATGATCAACTGATTTTGACAAGGCTGTCAGGACAATTTAATGGGGAAAGACAGTCTTTTCAATAAGTGGTGCTGGTATAACTGAGTATCTACACTTAAAGTAAAAGAAGGAATATGGACGCCTTTACACCATATACAAAAATTAACTCAAAATGAATCAAGCATCTAAATGTAGGAGTTAAAACTATAAAACTTCTAGGAGGAAACCCAGGTATAAATCTTCCTGACATTGGCTTAGGCAGTAGTTCTTAGACAGGACACTAAAAGCACAAGCGATGAAGGGAAAACACAGATAAAAGGGACGTCATCAAAATAAAAAACTTTTGTGTATCAAAGGACACCACAAAAAAGTAAAAAGATAATGCAGAAAATGAGAGAAAATATTTGTAAATCATAATTCTTATAAAAGGGTCTAGTGTCCAGAATACATAGAGAAGTCTTACAATTCCACAATAAAAGGACAATACAATTAAAAAATAAGCAAAATATTTGAATAGACACTTCTCCAAAGAAGATGTACAAATGATCAACCAGCACATGAAAGGTTGCTCAGTATCACTAGTCACTAGGGAAATGCAAATCAAAGCCACAGGGACATGGGGGTGTAATGTACAATCTGAAAGCTGCTAAGAGAACAGATCTTAAAAGTTCTCATCCCAAGAGAAAAATTGTAACTATGCATCATGACAGATGGTAACCAGACTTACTTCACAATATACACAAATACTGAATGGTGATGATGTTGTACAACTGAAACTAACATGTTATATGTCAATTACCTCTCAATTTAAAAAAACCCAATTGAATTATAACAAAAAGTGCCAATTTGGATCAGATCACTTTCTTTATGGGACTATTCTAATATAAATCATAACATTCAGTAACTCACACAATATACAAATTAATCTTTCCCTATTTCAATAGTTTTTACCCTGTTTAAAAAAAAAACCCACAGCAAGATGCCATTTTATACCCAAGATGGCTAGAATTAAAAAACTGGGCAAGAAAATTTTTCAGTGAGCATGTAGAGAAACTGGAACCCTCATACACTGCTGGTAGAACGTAAAATGGTGGAGACACTGTGGACTACACTCTGGCAGTTCCTTAAAAAGTTAAGCATACAATTACCATATGACCCTGAAATTCCACTGAAAGTTACATACACAATAGGATTGAAAACATATGTCTACAAGTCTTGTACACGGAAGTTCACAGCAGCATTATTCATGCAGCTAAAAAGTAGGAACAACCCAAATATCCATCAACTGATGAATGGATAAACAAAATGTGGTCTATCTACACAATGGAATATTATTTGGTCATAAAAAGGAGCGCAGTACTGACACACGCTACAACCTGGATGAACTCTGAAAATACGACACTCAGAGGAAGACAGCAGACATACTGTATGGTTACATTTATATGAAATAGGAACATCCAGAGAAGGCAAATGTAGAGAAATAGTAGATTAGTGGCTGCCAGGGCCTGAGGGGGTGGGGGTTCTGGGAGGAAAGGGAGTGACTACTAACGGTAAGGGGGTTTCTTTTTGGGGCGATGAGAAAGTTCTAGATTTGGACAGCAGAGATGGCTGCACAACTTTGTGAATATTCTAACCACCACTGAGTAGACTGTAAAAGGGTGAATTGTAACTCTTTAAAGAAATAACATAAAGCTGTTAGAAAAAAACAAAGAAAGAAGGGGTTGACAATGGCATACCAAAGGAGCCAGGCAACAAGGTGTCTTGCCGAAAGAGAATCTGAGGACAGCACTGAAACCAACTACAAGCCGGCTTGCTTTCGTAATAACTGAGCACCGGCAGCGCTCAGCCATGCCAGGGACAAAACCCCGCCCTCTGCAGGGAGGCCTGTGCCCACCGTGCCACTGTGTGCAGAGGAAGATGGAGCACTCGCTGTCACCTCATGTGTGCACGGCGCTTTCTAACTCAGGAAGTGTCATCACAGACAGGATTCAACTCACCCCCCACAACCCTGTGAGGACTAAGAGCAACACGGAGCCTCCCTGAGGCCATGACCACTAACCCGTGGCCTGAAAGAACTTGGGACCTAAGTCCTGTCCAACTGTAGGGTTTCCCGGCACACAGCGCGTGTCTGATGGGCAGGCCTAGTGGTCCTCATGGCCAGCCCTGCATCTTGTCCCTTGACCTCTGCTGCCCCATCCCTGAGAGTTCGTGATGCCCAAAACGCAGTCATGAACACAGGCATTCACCTAAACACTCAATTTCCTTCCTGTCTCCATTTAAACATTTTCTGTGCAAGGACTAACCACTCCTGCCATGCCACCACCTCCTCACATGGCAACTGCATGTTTTTCCCAACAAAGTCACAAAGTGAGGACTAGCAGGAGTTAGATCAAGTGACTCTCATTAAATCACAGTTCCCTAATTATAAATTTTAGCAGAAATATACTTAGCATAGAAACAAGGCCCATTAGATATTTAAGGGTAACTAAACAGTACACTAAAGCCACACTTCTGCTGCTTATTTGAGTGGCAAAACAGTCAAAAGATGGGGGAGGGTGTAGCTCAGTGACAGAGTGTGTGCAGAGCATGCATGAGGTCCTGGGTTCAATCCCCAGGGCCTCCATTGAAAAAAAAATCAACCTACTTACCTCACACCCCCCCCCAAAAATAATAATCAAGAGAAAAAGAAGAACATTTAGAATACACGGTAAACAAACACAGCAGGGGCGGGGGCAGGGATGGGGCTCACCAGAGAAGGAATTTCTTCCACAAACCAGGAAAGGCACTCCCAAAATGCTGGCTATTGATTATCTCCATGACAAGATTTTTAAGTGACTTTTACTTTCTTCTCTACACTTTTGGGTACTATTTACAATTTTTTTTTAAAATAATGCTCATTTTTATAAAAAGTTAAAAACAAAATATTTTTATTTTGAGAAACAAAAAACTTAGCAGTGGCTCAGATAATCTTTAACAATCTGTTAAACTTCACAAATATCAACTTCTAAGTCTGGGATGCCAATGAAGAGTGTGTGTTGACCTGGGGCACGCCCGGGTCCCCAGACTCCCAGACACAAGGCTCTGCCCCCACTTGCTGGGAGGCCCACACAAGCGTGGTCCTTTCCCAACACCAGCATCCGAACAGCTCCCTGAGGAGCAAGTTGGCATCAGTTAACTTTTGCTTACCTGGACAGGTGGCTCAATCATTATCCAGGCAGGAAGCATCAGACTGGGATTCAGAGGCTGGGTTCCTACGCGGAAGTAGACTCCCCCCCTGGAATCACAGGCCCAGATGTGCTGGTTTCCACAGGCCAAGCTCGTCAGTTTTACAGCTCCTGAAGACAAATAAAGGAAAAGTACACGCACTCACGACTTTTGTAAAATGACTGACCTTTCACTTAGTCTGTGAGCACTGATGTTACACTCCACAGGAACAGACAGGGCTGCACTTGCAGCTGAACCGCAGCTGGAGAAACTATAGCACAGGAGCGTCACCAAGGCCTCTGGCTGCCCTGCCACCTGCCAGGTGCCACGGCGAAGCAGTCAAGACGCCATCAGCACAGTGCCCTCAGCCACCAAGCACGGAGCTTAATTTCTCAATGGGGGCCCCATCATTAGCTTCAACAGATACAGAACTGTCACCTGCAAATTCTGGATCTGGGGAGAGAGAATTTACCTCTGTAGGTAACCTTGATCCTAATTAGAATTACGATTAACTAATTAAGCCTCCTAGAATCTTCACTTTTCTTTTTACACTTTTCCTTGTTGATTAAACCAATTTTAAGAGGAAAGGAAGCGGGAGGAGCCTTTAGAGAGAAATTACACAGATTATTGTCTTTCTGGCAAAGAGAGCAACAGTCAAGTTACAAACCTCCTGACAATGACGCGTGGCTATTATCCCCCCAGTCCCCACGCGAAGCCAGACATGCAGAGATCTGCTCGAGTTCCCAGGGCGGGAACGTGGCTAAGCCAGGAGACAAAGGTGGACTCAGGCTCGAACCCAGGCCAGCCGGACCGCTCCCCATCAGCTCCCTCTGGCCTCTGGGACTCCACATCCAGGGCGTGCACAGACCTTACACATTCAGTTCAGTCAACTCTGACAAATGAATGTGCCCAGGTAACCCACGTCTTATCAAGTTATGGGACATTTTTATCACCCCAGAAAGTTCCCTCAGGCCCCTTCTGGGCAACCCCTTCTGCCCCAAGGCAACCACTCTTCTCATCTCTACCACCTTGGATCAGTTCAGTCCAGTCTAGATGTCACGTGAACAGAACCACACGTATGCACTCCCCAGAATTGGCTTCTTCCACTCCATGTGATGTACTGTACACGAGATTCACCCACAGTCACACCTTTTTATCACTGAGTTTATTCCACTGCATGTAAACACCACAGTTGGCTTATCCTGTGGGCATTTGAGCCATTTCCACGTTTTGCTATCAGAAGTAAAGCTAATGTATATAATCATTCCTGCAGAAGACTTTTTTTTGTGAACATGTGCTGTTTTTCCTGAATAACACCTAGGTGTGGAACTCTGGGCCACAGGGCAGAGGTATGTTTAACTCTGAAAGAAAGCGCCAGTTCCCCATACCTACCCACCAGCAGTGTACTCGGGGGCCCACAGCACCCACTTTTGGCGCCATTTCCACATCAGCTATTCTAATGAGCGTGAAGTGGCATCTTGTCATTGTTAGAATTTGCATTTCCCTGATAACTAATGATGCGGAGACTCTTTTAAAGTGCTCATAGGGCATCTGTATATCTTCTTCTGTGAAGTGTCTGTCAAGTCTTTTGCCTGTTTCTCAAGTAGAATGGTTTGTCTTCTGATGACTCAGTTAGAGGGTGAGTCATTTTGACTTTAAAGCAGGGGGAAATGGGTGCAGCTACATTCAGCTGGCAGTGCTGTTCTGGGATACCTCACACAGCTGTCACTGGCATCAGATGACAGCCCGTGTGTCTGCACCAAAGCACTGGGGCACGGATCCTGCCATGTGAAAACCTCATCATGTGTATTTAGCTTAAAAGTATTAACCTACTACTAATAAAAAAATGCTCCTTCGTACATTTCCTAAAGATGACGATTTCTCTTTACTGATATTAACTGTATCTTTTTCCTTCCTTAATCTTTTATGGAATGTCTTACCAGTGAGTCAAAATAGATAGCCTTGAGCCCTAACACTACATATTAAAAGATTTGTAACAATCAAAGTGTTTTCAGCGCTAAATTTCAGAAACAGCTGAGAAACAAATTCTAATTTAAAGATGCTAATTAAAAAATAATTTTATGCTGGAGTCTTCAATCTGCCCTAATGGGAACTACAGATGGTAACTGCTCACGTGAACAGAATCACACGGTGACAAAAACACATGGGGTCAGCCTCTCAGAATCAGCAGTGAATGGCACCACCGCCGGTGAAACGTGGGGTTCACGTTACAAGGCAAACTTTCTCTTAGAACAAATCTAAAAGGCTGCTAGGATATAGTCTTCAGTTTATAAATCAGCTTATTCGGAATTGAAGAGACAGGCCAAAGAAGAAAACATTTAATCAAGGACTTTGCTGTAGTTTCTGGCCTCAGTCTCCCAGGCTGCCTGGACGCAGGTTTATGAGGTTGGGACAGCGGGCAGAGACTACCCGCCACTAAACACTCCCTGGTTCCCTGCAGACCTTAGGGTCAAGCAGGGCTCCATCTAGTTCTGGATGATGGGCTGTGAGCAGAAGTGTCTGTCACTTCTGAATTGAAGCCTAAAAGAGGTGGCATAGGGCTCTCAGTTGTCCCCTGCTGCAGTGACCAAGACGGCAGAGCCACAAAGTACCACTCAGGACCAGCTGCTGCCACCCGGGAGCCGGCCACCTGAAAAGACTGACAGGTTGAGAGCCAACTTTGTGGGAGCAGAAAGCAGAGTTTACTGTGTTAAGTCGCTACGATGGGGCTCGTTATAACACTGCTCATCTGACTGACACAGACACCCTGCAATTTCCTGCCTCCCCGTTCTGTTCTTCCCTCCCACTTAAAAAAAAGTTTTAATTACTTTATCCAACAGATCAGACATTTCCCCTTTAGGAGTGCTTTGAAAACATATGTTTTAGAACAAACAGTGGCATTTATTTGGCGCTTTACTATTTATAAAACACTTTTCTACATAAATGGCTACAAAATATAATCCTGTGTGTTAGCTACAAGCATGAACTGACACTGAATACTTCCTCATTAAATGCTGTGACCAGATGAATTAAATTACAAACTACATTAGTTTGCTAAACCTCCCAACGCCTGACATGTGCATATTTATGTGTCCTGGGATATGAAATGTTATGAGCACCTTAAATATCTGCTAAATGATGTAAATTTTCTTCCCAAAACTAAGACTACCATAAATCACAAAATTCCATATTCAGTCTCTACAGCTGCGGTCAGTAGCCAGACATTTAATTGAAGAATTCTCTTAATTTAATCTCAAAGCAGCAATTGACTAGGTAATTTGCATAGGGGCAGAAAAGAGAGATGCATACAAAAGAAATTAAAGGTAGAAATCATGTTCATGACTGGATGCTTTGCTAAAGTCATGCGGGTAAGGTAAAGACTGGTGACATCCAGGCCTGACAAGCACCTGGTGCTGCCCAAGGCTGACGCTGGCCTGGGGCAGTCCACATCCGGTGTCAGCTAGGAGGAGGGCTCTCTTTGTTTTATGTTTCAGTGTCAGAACTCTTGTCAAGAAGGGATGGGGACTGAAGAGAAGAACCAGGTGAACCACACCCCTGAACAGCTTTTATAAACCCAGCCTGTCCTACCTCATGACCCGGGCAGGCTGACGGCAACCTGGAGCTGGACTAAAGAATTACAGGTGATGGCATCCTGTTCCTGCATGTTTTATTTGTGATTATCAGCAACAAGGAATCAAAGCTCATACCCCAGAATTCCTTAGAGATGGAGGTACGAATAATGACAACTTTTCTGACGGTTGAATTTCCTGCTGTGCATAGGTGTGGCCAAGCACGAGGTCCCTGCCCACAGAGCCCCTCTACTCGCCTCGCGGAAACACCTCATGGGTCAGACTGAAATGGCTGTCGGGACCAAGTAGGAGCAGGATGCCAGGGGACACACTGTGACGGGGATGCGGACTGAAGACAGGAAGCTAGGCCACAGGGAGAGAGGGGAAACCCCAGGCGTGACGGGGCCGGGCCCATGGGGAAGAGCAGCGGCACGAGGCCCCGGAAAGGTGGGGCCGGGCTGCGGGGTTCTGGGTGCCACCCTAAAGACTGGAATTTGACTCTAGGAGCATGTGGAGCCATTTAAACGTTGAGGGTACAGCCTTGGAGCTGTGTTTTTGGAAGACAGGTCTGGCAGTCGCGGTGGGAGTGGGCACGCCTGGAGCCATGGGGTGGTTACGGTTACTGCAGTGGTGCAGGTGTGGCAGGGGGAGCTCCGACCCCTGCCGTGGTGGGCAGGGAGCAGAGGAAAAGACAGCCCAGGAGACCGTCTGGGGCAGCTGGAAGGAGCACTGTGGGCCACGCTGGCCAGGAGAGAAGCACAGGGCCAGAGAGAATTCTGCCCTCTCCAGCAGAATTCAGTGCGGGCAGGGCAGTGAAGTCAGCAAGAGGAGTACATTTTGGACCATCAACAAAACGAAAGGCAATTTACTGAATGAGAGGACGTATTTGCAAATGATGTATCCACTACACAGTTAACATCCAAACTATATAAAAAACTCATATAACTGAACATCAAAAAACCCCAAACATTAGCAAAAAACAACAACAAAATCAAACAATCCGATTGAAAAATGGGCAGAGGGCCCGAATAGGCACTTTTCCAAAGAAGATATACAGATGGCCAGCAGGCAGACGGAAAGACGCTTGGCGTCACTGATCACCAGGGCAATGCAAGCCCAAACGAGATACCAGCTCACACCTGTCAGAACGGCCGCTGTGAAAAAGATAACAGATAACAAGGGTTGAGAAGGATGCAGAGAAAAGGAAACTCTAGTCGAGTGTTGATGAGAATTTAAACTGGTGCAGCCACGACGGAGGACAGTACGGAGGTTCCTCAAAAAATTAAAAATAGAACTATTGTACAATCCAGCAATTCCACTCCCGAGTATTTGTCTGAAAAAAACCAAAAACACTAATTTGGAAAGACATATGCACCCCATAATGCTGTTCACTGTAGCATTATTTCCAGTTGCTAATATATGGAAGACACCTAAGTGTCCACTGACAGACGAATGGGAAAAGAAGATGTGATATATATACACAATGGGATACTACTCAGCCATAAAAAAGAATGAAACCTTGCCACCTGCAACAACATGAATGGATCTGAAGAGTGTTAAATTTAGTGAAGTACGCCAGACAGAGAAAGACAAACACTGTATGCTTCACTTACATGTGGAATCTAAAAAGCAAAACAAATGGACAAATACAAAGAGGCAGAAACAGACCCACAGATACAGAGAGCAAACTGGTTACCAGAGCAGAGTGGGTGGGGGAGGGGAGAAGTAGGTGAAGGGGTTTAAGAGGTGCAAACTACCAGTTATGAAATAAATTAATTACAGAATGTAACGTACAGCATGGGAATACAGTCAACATTTTATAATAACTTTCCATGGTGTGTGATCTATAAAAGTATCAAATCACTACATCACACACCTGAAACAAATATAGTACTGTAATCAACTGCCCTTCAAAAAAGAAAAAAAAAGAGTGCACTTGGGAAAGAGAAGTTTGCAGGTAAGCAAGCAAGGCAGCGCTGATGCCAACTGCACTGCAACACCTGCTCGCTGCCACGTGCTGCATGCCGTGCGGTGGCAGCCCACCACGGACACTCACACAGGGGGTTCAGGGAAGGGAGCAGGCACCTGAGTTCAAAATCTGTATCCCCTAATAGAAAGAATAATTAAAAACCCCCTTGATTCACCTGTTTCATCAGGCCACACAGACCATCCCCGGGGAGAGACAAACAACAGAACAGCCTGTGGCTGACCTGCCTGTCGCTGCCCACCTCCTGCTGCACCCTGCACACCTCCCCTGCCTACCAGCTCGGGACTTGTGCCCTCCCAGGAAGTTCAGAAAGTGGTGACAGCAGTCTTTATACATGCATTGTCTCAGTATCAGCCAATAAGTTGGGTAGATAAAATCAAGAGCTCAGAGCTCAGAGCAGGACAAAGACTAAGAAAGGCAGAGTCCCCCCGTGACTGTCCCCCACCACGCACAGAATTACACCCAGGTGAGCACTCCCCCAACAGCCTGAGGATGTTACACCTGCCTGAGATGGCTGACACTTATGCAGGATGCTTATCTGCACCATCTCTCTGGGCAGGGATTGCTGCTACCATTAGGAAGGTGAGAGTTGAGGTTTCCTGGTAACCTGGCAGCTCCCGCTCCTCTGCTTGACCACTGCGCACCTGCTGTCTGAGTGACCCACCTGAGGCCTGGCTGTTCTTCAGCTCCTGCACCCAGGCCCTCAGCCAAAGCATACCCTGAGCTTAGGATGGCCTTGTTCCGGCTTCATTCCACTCTGCAACTGAGACCCATTCCCACCAAAGCTGTTTATCCCCTCAAAAAAATGGCCACCAACCACAGTGAAACCCAAATGGGCACCTCAGAGACCGGTAACCCTCTAGCCATCTAGCCAGTGCCAGGAGGGCCTGACTGAACTGGGAGGGAGGCAAGCGCCCCGGGCGGAGCAGCTCCAGCAGGGTGGAGCCTGGCCAGCACTGAGCAGTCTGCACCCACTGTACCGGCCTCCTCCCAAGGGGTGGTGCCGGGGAACGAGCTCTGCTTCGGACCAGGATGGTACAAGAGCAGCGTCAGTAGTGGGGAGGACGGGGACCACGCCCTGGCCTTTTTACCTCCAGAAACTCCCAAACTGGCACCTCCCAAACAGGTCTGGTTGGAGGCTGCCAGAGAAAGGTTCAGGCCAGTAGGACCTCTGAACGAAGGAAAGGCTCTCTGGTCAGGCATTGTCAGTAACGGTGACAGGCAAATGCGCTCACGAGTGGGAAGTGACCGGCCCTGGTGCTGAGATTAGGTTCAAAACACAGGGTGTGAGGTCAAAGGCGTAAGTAATCAAAATGACCCTGGGAAATTCTTAGCTTTGAAACCAATCTGCTTCTTCAGCTAAACGGGCTAAAGTCCAGGGGCTTGGTGGACACGAGAATATGATGTCTCTGTAGGATGGGATGCTGGGGGGCCCCGTCAGCTGAAGATGCAGCCAGGCTGCTGGGGAGGGAGGCAGACAAGTCCTCCCTTCTTTCTTCCTGCTTTCTTTGTCCTCCTCCTTTTTTTTCCTCAGTGAGTGCTTGTGGTTGAATTCTCAAACATTAAATGCCTGTATAATTTACTTCTACCACCTAACAAACAAGATACTGGATGTCAGCTTATCATAGTGGGAGACCGGGGCAGGGAGGCATTCCTCAGGCTCAGGTGGACTCTGTGGAGCTCCCTCGGGGCAGCCTCCGCCGTCAGAAGTCACACCTGAGACTCTGCCCAGAGAACGACCTAATGTGGTGGCTCCTTCTGTCAGTTTACTTCTTGGAACAGGAACGGATTACTTACAAAGGGCGTCATGTTACTCAGCCTGCTTGCTCTGCAGCCCTCGAGTGAGGATCGGCGGGAGATGCATGCCAGCCCTTCTGCCTGGTGGAGCAGAGTGGACGCTCGCCCTCTGGGCAGCAGTCCTCCCAGCTGCAGAGGAGTTGGGGAAAAGGGCCGCTGACCCTGGTTCCCCCAGAGTTAAAGGGCACAGAGCCACGGCGGCCATGTTCAGATAGGCCAGCAGAGGCGGCTGCATCAATGGTATCACCGCATGCAGGTCTTAGTGGAATATTTTTCTGAGTACATGCTCCTCCCAGGCTCTGAAAACCCTGCCGCCTGTAAAGGGTGGGGAAGTAAAGTCCTTACAAAACTGAGGCCCATTTAACCTGCAAGGGCGGCTAATCAACCTCCTGAAACCCGGCAACTTACAAAGTGTCACACAAGAAATCACACAAGTTGAACACAGGGGCCCCGGGGGTTCGGTGACATCCCACTCCGATGTTGTTTCAAGGAGCGCTCACCAGGCGGCGTACCTAGCTGGGAAAGATCCAGGCGTGTCCAGTGCATGCCCGTGGGGCAGCTCTTGGAGAGCGTCCTGATAAACACCTGGCCCAGGCTGTCCAAGGCCCACAGGGCGTCTTGGCAGGCGGCGTAGGCCCTCATCTCGGCATCGGGAGGCAGCTGCACGGTAGACGGGCGCGACTGGGCGTCCTGGGCGCTGACACAGCACAGGTCCTTGCTGCTCTGGCACAGCCACAGGGAGCTTCCTGCGGGAGAGGTCACAGCTGTCAACGGCGAAGCGCTGTGGCTCCTCCGCCCATGCAGGACTCTAGCTCAGGACCCAGCGGGAAGCACCCTGACCAGCCAGTTAACGGGAAGCAAGCCCGAGACACTTTATAGACGTGAGAGCAAGTAGGCTCATGAGATTTCAGGAAGGCAACACTGCTGGCTTAGTGGCCAGGCCCTGGACACTCTGTCATAGACGGGGAGGTCTCTGACTGGGTGTTCAGTCATCGCCCTAGAGGGGGAAGGTCAGCACCAGGGTGCTTCCTCTTTCTGGAAATGAGAGGAGGGGTGGGCTGGTGGGTGGGGAGGCTGCTGGGGAGGGCCCGGAAAGTGGGAAAGCCTTTTCTTCCCATCCTCACCTCAAAATTACATGCTTTCATTCTCTCCACCATTTTTAGAGTCTTTTTGGTTTAATTCAGTTCAAAATGCATACCACTCTTGGGGAAGTTAAAATCTCAGTTACAGTATACTATCTGAAGTGTCCCTAAAACTTGTGGCCAGACATGGTCTGTAGTTCAACAGCACTTGGGATGCTAACAACCACAGGTACTGCCACACACTGAAGTAACAGCGCTGGGAGCCAGGCAGCACCCCCGGTGGGAGGCACGAACGTTCCCACAGCAAAACGTGTCTCAGCCACAATCGGCAGGACAGACTGACCAGCAGGAGCCTCCCATCGGTTCAGGTCAGGTGTTGCTGCCAAATGAATCTGTGCCAAACTCAGGAAATAGCCTACAGTTTTCAGAGCCTACTCATCTCAGAACCACAGTCAGGGTGGTCTGGCGAGAAAGCATTTTATCGTACTGAGCAAGTTACCCTCGTCCCAGTGGGACTAATGGCTCAAACTAACCAACAGCTTCCTCTGAACCACAGACTCATGGCGTCCTCTCATCAGACCCTCAGTTCAGTCTTGGGGGGAGGCACTGGCTGCTCCCCAGAGGGACCACCTGACTGCCAGGCGCCCAAGCTGCCAGAGGGGCTGTGCACTCTGCCCAGAGCCGGGAGGTCTGTGCCTGCAGGGAAGGTCTGCCCTAACAGGGGCATAACCGTGGGACCCAGGCTGACTAGAAGCTGTAAACCAGACAACCACAAGGGGAAGCGGCAAGGCGCCCAGAGAAGCCTGGTACATACTGGCCCTGAGATGTGTCACTGGGTACCACTGGCTGCTGGCCCTAGCGGCCACACTGTATGTTCCCCTCCTGCAGAAGGACACCTGGCCTTCAAACTCACTCCAAGTCACCACAGACCCTCCTCCTTGAGGGGCCCTTGGCTCAGCTAACCAGGGCTGCTCGCCTGCAACACCACCACACCTAGTCTCTGAGGTCCATACAGCCCCGCCCCACCCCAACTAGGCCACAGTCAGACCATGGCTTTCACTACTCAACTGCCAACCTGTGCACCACACTTCCCAACCAACCTTCCTTTGTGGGAGCACTGGAAGCCAACACAAAGGCCCACTTGGTTGCAGACGCTGTCCCACGGGGAACAACACTGTTCCAGTAAGTGCCTAGAAAAAAAGTGGGAAGAGCGTGGTAAAGAAAGAAAAAATGCAGACTGTGGAACTTCGGTTCTAGACTACAACTGGTCTTCATAGCCTCTTATAGTTGGTTCTGAAGTGTCCTTAGAGTCAGAGACCCAAGCCAGCACCGTGAGGGCCAGCACCCCCTTCTCTGGACCCGGACAAGCAGAGCCACAGTGGTGCCCAGGGTGGGGGGACGCCATGCAGCAGGGTGCAGGCAGCTGGAGACAATTCACAAAGTCAGGTTCATTCACAGAAACGAAGCCCCACGTGGTAAATGTGGATTTATTCCTACGTTCACAGATCTGGCCAGAGCCTTGCATTTCCAACAGTGCAGTAATTCTCCCTCCAGGAAATGGACTGTTCTCTCTTACTAGGCTCGTTAGATATGGGAGAACCCTTTCATTTAAATGTGAAATTATAACGTAAAAATGAGCTCCACATGCTCTTCTTGTATCATAATAGGTTCCTAGTGGAAACTGATCACACACCCTCCAGACACTGGTATCCAGGCTGCAGGAACGACCGACTGAAAAAAGGAAGCTGATTCAAAGCACAAAGAATGCCTCTCTCACAAACCCTTCATACCACTGGCACCAAATTACCTTCTCAAGTGAGACCTTAAAGCTTTTCTCTAAACGTTGGCTTTTAAGGAAAGCTGCCCATCAAACCAACATGAAAATGAAGCAGTTCACCCACCAACGAGACTTCCTTTAGCGACGTGGAATTCATTCTTGCCCGAGGAGATCCAGACGCCGCTGCCATTGACCCCGAGGAGGGTCGGCTGGCACTGAAGCTGCTGAGACCAGAATGCCATGCGCAGTTTATCTGCCACCTTCTCGACGGGCACTTGGGCCGCTGTGGCCACCGAGTGCGTGGCGTGGATTATGGTCTGGAACAGGCTGCACTGGTCGAACACCACGTAGTCTGTGATGCTCACCTGGAGGGGGACACGGGCAGACACCCTGTCAGTGCAGGCACGTGTGCCTTCTGCACGCTCGCTGCCCGAGAGGTGAGGCCCCGGCCACGCCCATCAGACACCCAGACATGCCCAGACACGCAGTGTGAACGTGCATATTTGTGTGAGGGCCGAGAAGTGTGGCAGGGTGCCCCAAGCTGCCGGCCGTAGTTACTTCTGAGGGCTGGACTCAGAGAAGTGGAAGACCGTGTTCACCTTCTAGCCTACACACCTTTATGATGCATGGCTCCGTCACAACAGGCAAGTATTATTTATATGACTACACATCATCCCTCACACCCCCACAGTCTTTTTACTCTAATCAGTGAGAAAGGATGATTTGGTTTTAAAGTTAGGTACTTCCAATGGACAACAGTGTACAATACTTGGAATCATAATGTGGGTTTAAAAAGGTAGTGTAAGTAGGGTGATGGGGCGATTTACGACCTAAACTGGGACTGTTAATTAACTTACCAGAACAACAGCACAGACTGGACTCCCCCTGGATGTGTGGAACTCACCCTGTCTCACATTCGAGAAAAATGCCTCTCACATTCCTGAGAGGTCCTTCTCCAGGGCACCGCCCTCTGAGGAGAACCCCTCCCCGGCTGGTTGGTAGAAAGTTCTCAGACAGGCCAGATCTGACTCTGTGTGACTTTCCGTGTATCTCTGCCCTTTCGGGTTTGACTACACAGAACATTACAGCCCTTCACCTGGTCCAGGCCACGTTCCAGGGTCACGCACAAAGAAACGTGGAGTTAAAGTGACAGCATTCATGGTGGGCAACTTAATGTATTAACAAACAAAACAAAAAGGAAACTTTTTTAAAAATCAGTACTGTATTATGTGTACAAATACTGCCCTTTCTTATCTGTAAAAGGACTCACACTGTGAGCTGCTGCCTTAGCTGAAGTTTAAGCAAATGGTGTTACCATGCCAGGACCCCCAAGGCTCCGTCTCGAAAGCGCCGCCCGCCTGGCTGGGTGGATCCCATCAGAGCCCTCGGAAGGCTGGGCAGGGAGCCGGGGGACCACCACGCACACTGCTGGGTGGCGGCCGGAGAGCGCTGCTCTCCCCTGGGGTGTACAACATCCGGCCACACAGAAAGTCTGTGACAGACTCACTCCTAGCACCCAAGACTTGCAGATAATCAGGATGCAAATTTAAAAAAAGAAAAGAAAGGTTTGACAGTTTCCAAACGTAATGCTGGCTCTAGGAAGAAATCAATCTTACAGTAATTAAAGTAACTCCTTCCACATATCTCAGAGATGATTCTGTCAGGTTATTTTCTCTACAGATAATTTTCTTAATACTATGATAAAGATGACACCTAGTTTTCTTTAGGCTACTTAAAGACAGAGTTTATATAGTAAATGTAGAAACCTGAGTGTATGCACGTGTGTGTGTGTGTATAAAGCCATATAATATGGTCACAAATACAGAGAGAGCATTTTTAAATCATGTGTATAACTTTTCACGTAGCACCTGGCACATCAAATTAGAGATGCACGTGTTCATCAAAGAGCAAACACAACTGACTTTTCCACACCTTCAGCTGAAAGACCAAAAACCTCAGAGCAGCCGATGGAAGGCCTGCCTTCAACAAGGCAAGTCTGAGGCAGCAACCAGGCCTGAACCAACGGGGACGGAACTGAGACTGCATTTTACAGTGGCTGGGTGTCAGTGCGACCTTACCGACCACGCGGGGATGTGGAGCTACATTCACACTGAATGGTGCCGAAGGCGGGGAACAGCTGGCTTCACTGTGCCCCCCGCCTCTCAGAGTGTCTACTTTTCTGGGAACGTGCAGGAAGAGCCCCTTTCTTTGCTGACATGCCTACTGAGAGGCCTTCTGCACAAGCAGAGAGACTTAGTGTTGCCTGTGGGCTGGGTTTTTCACACCTATTGTCTAATCTCTTTTCTTAGCACATTTGCTCAGAATTAAACAGTTACTACCCTAGGTCTTCAAATGGACGCCACTGGGTTTATTCAGCATATGAGGATAAATTTCTAAATAACACCAAAATCGAAAATAAACAAAGCCTGCATATTTAAGCACAGAGGCCTTTACACGTGACCTCCTGCGATGAAGGGCCTCGATGTTTCTAATGTGCTGGAACACGGCCAGTAAATTAACACTGTTAATTTACTCCAACCCCTGACCTCTTTCAGGAAAATGGCAGGGGCTGTAAAAGGGAGGGCAGAACCCCCACTCAGGGAGCTACCCTGGCATGCAGCCCTGGAGCTGAACACCTACTTGCCACCAATGGTCGTCATCCCCTTGGGGCTTCTTGGAAACGACACCGGTTCTGAACCACAGGTTTCCTCGGATGTCCAGGGCCCACAGAGTCTGCTGGTCCCCGAGAGTGATACAGACGGGTTCCAAAGCCTGCCTTTCACTGAAAACGAGGAAGAGTGCACGGAGTCAGCACCCACATTCGAAGCACCCAGCGCGGCCAGGACTGCCGGCACAAGTTGTCTCTGGAGAGCTTGGTGTGGGACAGGGACGGGCTCTACCACCCGTTCCGAGGGGGGAGGCTTGAGTTCTGAGTTAAATTACCGTGCAACAGATACTGTTCAGGCATGCGGTAGGTCTGAAAGACACACTGAAGGCCCAGAACTACAGGGAAAGCTCTCAAGACAAAATAACCGAGGGGAAAAAGTGAGCAGACACATAAGGAACGCAAGGCCCCTACAGTTCATCTCTGCTCTGTCCTTCACCAGTCAAGCGAGGGGACACCCCCCAGCGAGTGCTGCCATCCCCCTCCCACCCATCTGCTGACACCCCTGCCAGCTTCAGGGCCCAGCTGCAGGTCCACCCTGCGCAGTGCCTTCCCGACCTCGGCAGGGGGACCAGAGGCACCTCAGGGCTGTGTGCTCTTCTCCGGCTGAGGGCCACCCCCACTAACTGGCATCGCTCAGCTCACGTGGCTCCCCGAGACCGGCTGCGGCTTGGTCATGTTCATACACCCAGCCAGCACCACCCTGGCTCCACCTGAATTTGCTGGATTGCTAAATGCAAACCAAGAATATCCTAATCTAATTTTCTAACAACTATTAATAATTTCACACCAGTGAAATGATTTGACAGTAATTCTGTCATTAAAATTTTGACTGGCATGAAGTAACCAAACAAATTGCACGTCAGAGACCAATTTCAACGATTAGGATGACAATAAAGAAAAATATGTGGCCCTAAGTCATCTGAGATTCTAAACAGAAACCATTTGACACTGGGCAGTTCTGAATAAAGACCTTCACAAGAGACTCGTAACTGTATGGTGCTTGAGGTTACACCTGAGGGAAGCAGCATTTTAAAAACTCAGCTGTGTGTACTTCGATTAAAAAAAAAATTTTTTTTTAATTTTAAATTAAAAAGTAAAAAAAAATAAAAACCGTGCTCTGACCCAGCCTCCAGTCTGCTGGTCAGAGGGAGGCCCAGAGGTCTCCAGGGTCAGGCTGCCGAAGTTGGCACTGACGACCCCGGAGAACACTGGGACTCTGGAAACCGTCAGGGGCACAGCTCTGCCCAGGAAAGGTCACGCGGGTGCCTTCAGGGAAGTCAAGCTGACAAGGAATGGAGGGACACACAGGAGGCTGACAAGGCGTCCGCGCCCCACCCACGCTGGTACCTGACGATGTCACACTTCCAGTGCTCCCCCTCGGGGCAGAAGCTGCTCACCCCCTCCCGGTACAGGAGGGCTCTCTGCTCTGTCAGCGCCCACACCACGCTGTTTCGGGCTGTGACCTGGGACAGCGGGTAGGGACAGTCGACCTTCACGGCTCTGGCACAGGGGCGATCCACGCTGAGACCTGCCAGGGAGACAGACAGGGGGCCCCCACAGACACGATCAGGACGTCGCACCTCATTTTTATTCTGCTGCTTGCTTATTTTTCTCTTCTGGTATTTTGCTATATCCTTTTGTAGTAAGTGCTTTTTCTCTTTCTAAGGTCTAGTCAATAGAAAATGGTTAAATTGTGCTTAAATAAAACATCTACCTGAAGTGTTTTCAGATGATCTTTGAAAACTGGAGGAGTAACAATTCAGAATCCTCTGGTGGCCCCAAGTAGCCAAAAACATTCTGCAAGAGCATGAAAGCCCAGTGCAGGAGAGCAGCCAGACCCCGGGCCAGAGGGCCCAGGCCGAAGGAGCCGGTGCTCAGGGCTGCCCTTCCACATGCTGCAGCCACGGCCCTTGGGGCCTCAGCTGCCGCTGGACCTACAGAGGCCTGAGGCCCCCAGGCATCCTCTGCAGAGCACCTCTGACAGAGTGGGTCCCCTCTCCCTGCTTTTGCACATGGAATGTGGGGTTCCACTGCTAAAATGGAAACCCCCATTTCCTAGCTGGAAGGTGAGGGCCAGAGCCCAGGGTCCCTGAGCCCCATCCAGGGCTCTTCCCCCACCTTCATGCGACCTCTGCCTAGGAAGTTTAAAGGCCACTCAGAGGGGAGCTGGCAGAAGAGCTGTCACCTAAACCCATATTCTCAGCCTCGGCCTGCAGTTAGGTCCTGGCACTCACTGAGCTCCCTGACTGACTACAGAGCACCCCATGGTGTCACAGTCCTTGCACTGTTTCCTCGAACTCAACCAGGGTTAGGGCCTTCTCACACTGCAAACCCTTGCACCAACCCCGAAGACTCTAACCCAGGAAGGGTGGGTGGGTTTGGGCTTGTCTGAAACCACGGCCCCAGTGATTCCTCATGCCCAGGCCAGAGCACGCTGCTTCCCCACCAGGAGCAAAACTCAGATGGCCCTGCAAGTGGGTGTGCATGTGTCTTTCCAGTGATTTTTCACCCTTGAGGGAGACACAGAAACCCGGCTGGAGACGGTCCAGCACATGGCCCAGAAGCTGGCACGGCGCCACGGGCTCGGGCAGGAGCTTCCAGGACGCATGGCCCCCACATCTGGGAGCAAACCAGATGTGCAAGGGCTTCCAATCTCAGAGAACTGTCCCTGGCTGACAGTTCCTAACAGAGATTAAACATTCTCCCAGAATCAGCAACATTAAATGGCTAAAAGTTTGATCTTTAGATAAATCCAGTATGATCTCCTGACAACCAAAAAAGAGCTCCTGCCCCATAACCCTTTCCAGACACTGATAAATCACGCTGCCTTTGGAAACTCATATCCCATTTTGCTGACCGCACATAAACACCAACTCTCATTACAGCTTATTTTTAATGAACAAGTCCCACTGTGTCTCCTCCAGCAGCCAAAGGTTCCCCTCAGGACAGTTTCCTAGGACAAGATAAACGGCTATTTAGCGAAAACTATTTCTCGTCTTTTCTTGACCCATGTGTAAATAAGTGTAACGAAGCAGGGCTTTGACCTGGCTGAAAAAATCCAGCCATAAGCTAAAGGGAAAAATGATTCTAATGTCATTTCTCTGTTAGTCTTTCCCTTAAGATTTGATATTGCAGGGTAGGTGATATGCAATGGTTAGCCGTAAGGAGAGTAAGACTGCTTCTGTACCTCACTAAATAACTCCAGTAACTCCTGCCCTAAATCCGTCCAGGAGTGAATTTGCGTCAATGCAGAAAACTGCTAATATATTCCAAAAGCAAATACTCTCTTCCCAGAAATGTTTTAATTTAAATTGATTTCTAGCCTCTTGGTCACGGTCTCTAGGCATGTCCCTCACAAAGCAGGAGAAGCGGCAGGCGGTTACCTGTCTGCAGGTACAGGTCTCCGTTGGTCCTAATGATCCAGGCTGTGTCATCGCTCAGGGCCACAAACACCGCCTGGGGCAGAGCTTCGTACCAGTGCCGCTTCCCCCTGATGGTCACTTTTCCACAAGCAAAGGCTCGGTTAGATTTCTGTTCAATCTTCCAGAGAAGGGCTCCTGTGGAAATAAAAATTCTACTCACTGTCCAATAAAGATTGAGAATTATCGGGTGGAGAGCATGTAGCTCAAGTGGTAGAGCACATGCTCAGCATGCAGGAGGTCCTGGGTTCAATCCCCAGTCCCTCCTCTAAAAATAGATAAATAAATCAAATTACCTCCTCCTTCTAAAAAATAAAATTAAAAAACTAAAAAAAAAGATTAAGAATTATTGATCCCCAAACCTCCATTCTGGGTCTACGGGGTGAGAGATTTCTGCCACCATCCCACTGGGGAAAGAGCCCACCACGCCCAGGCTTGTGCCCTTGGCCACCACCTCTCACTGTGTGGCTCTGCCCATCATGTCACCTAACGTCTCCAAGTCTCATCACCTCCTCTGTGAAGTGGGGGTCACCTCTACCGTACAGGTGTCAGACGGACAGGAGGTGAGAATATGTCAGTGACCCAGCACACGGAGCAGGTCCGCCAGGGGCACTCATCACATGGGAGAGGAGCAGGGCCACCACGGCCAGCTTTGCAGAGAGGAGTCCCCAAACTAACATCACGAGGCACAACTTGTGCCCCGAGAAAGGCCGAGAGTCCTGTGGGGCCTCCAAGGGAGGGGCCTTTCTGGACCAACTCAATGGATGAGATGCAGGAAAGGGAGGCATCTGCACTGGGCTGTCCTCTTCTCACTTAGAAAGGGGTTCTGATAAACATGAAGAAGGGGCGGATAACGAGGAGGGGCCGAAGAGAAGGCTCGCTGTGCAGATGGAGCCCAAGTAAGAGTGGGGAGTGAGGCAGGCGCCAAGCCCGCAGCGCCCGGGTGCCACCCAAGACAGGCCTGCAGGACAGCTCAGTGGCAACATGAGCCGGCGGGAAGAGTTCTCACAGAGTAACGCGGGACTGAATGATTTGGAAACCAAAGTAATTAACGCGATCGGGGAAGAGCCAACGTTTATAAATATCTGGGGAGAGGAACCCAAAGGTAAACGACAGGAAGAGAGTTAAAACGCACAATTACATAACGCCTGCTAACCAAGCAGGCTATTATCTTAGTCTCCAAGGCAAAATACTTTCCAAACACGCAAAGAGACAAGACAAAATAACCCTGAACAAACTAGTACTTTAAATACTGGCAAAGACCAGGAGGGTTAGGGGCCGTCCATCTCAAAGCTGAGGTCACAGACTCAGTTTGTCTGACTTCCACTCCAACGTCCTAACAATAAACCAGCTACTATAAGACAAACACACAGACAGACTTCTGTTCTGCCTACCCACCTCCCACTCCCAAACAGGTAAAGCAGCCGACGTTATGACAAAACGAACAAGCAAATGATTCTGCACAGATCAGGGAGGTGGAACGCCATCCAGGAAACGTCTGCCCAATTCACTAAAAATGACCCAATCACAGTACAAAAGAATGCACTTTCTTTTTACAGTCAGAGAGCAGATTATTCACCCAAAGCATATATGTAGCTCATTCAAAAATAATTTCCAAAAAAGAAACCAAGTAATCTGAACATATCCAGTACATCTGTGGGCCTGTCTTCATTAGCTCAGTTGCTTTAAAGTAACACTAAGAAATAAAAACATTTATTTTTATAAGGAGTTTGCACGTTAATATCTCCAAAAAGAAAAAAAAGCCCAAACCCATTAAATTTCAAGCTATTTGTATAGCTTATAAAAATATGTGCACGTTACTGCTGCAATGAATAAAAAACCAAAAATGGAACTGCATTTATACTACATTTAGTTGACGCCAAACGAAGCAGCTTTCGTTCTTTGGAGAAAACCCCTCAGATCTGCGGGAAAAGGCAAGTCTGCCGGGGACAGGAACCCTGCGTGCGGTGAGGCCCGCACCGGGGCAGGGGGTAGGGGGCTGGGAGGCGAACCTGAGGGTGACACTGCCACCTGCTGGACGGCATCTTCAAACTTCTGCCAGCGCAGCCCAGCACCTGGCAACGCGCTGCAGAACAGGCCGCCTTTGTAGTCCAGGCACCAAATGTACTTCTCGGAGACCGCCAAGCTGAGGATGCCGTAACCAGGGCCCGAGTAGCCCATCCAGCTCTCTGCAAACTGACAAGAACAGAGCCTCTGAGTTCCATGGCAGGCAACACAGCTGCGTCTGCCGTGCTGCTGTCAGTGAGAGAAGTGTGCAGGACATGAGGAAAGTCAGAGCTGAAAGGACCCTTTTGTGTGTGTGAGAGAGAAAGGACCTTTGAGGAGCCAGGCAGAGACCTGCCCATGCTACCCTGGACCATGCTCTAATGGAAACACCCTGAAACAGGAGCTGCTGTTCCCCCTACAAAGACCACAGACGTCCCTGCACGACACTTTGTCACAGATGCTACATCTTTCCCAACATGGCGCTGAGGTTGAAAGGACCAGGTTTTATTCTGCAGGTATATCCCACTTTACACTGGCATGCACTGAGATTTTTGTACATCTAATCATCAGAGAGGTGTCAGGAGAAACAGCACCACAGCTTTGTGTCTTCACTGTATTTTCCAAGTGCCATGCAGTCACTGGACACATGGCAGGCACATCATGTGGCTGATGGCAACCTGGCCAAGACACCCTGCCTGACTGAATTTTGTAGACTAAGGGTAGTTGTTAGGATTCTTTTAAGAACCAAAGCTAAATAAAGTGCGTACTTTAACAGCTTTCTAAAACTGTGAAAGCACTCAATGGACTTGGAGTTACCCACACGTGAAGGTAACTGCTTCAGAGAGAATGGTGCCCAGCCCTCCTCCGTCCGGCCCCACGAACCATGACAAAACGCAAGGGAAAGTGGCTTTCCAGCTATCTGGAGGGGGTGAGGCAGAACAGTGAAGGGGGGGTCCTCAAAGTGCCAGGTGCCCCCTCACCTAGGACTTTGCTAAAGCCCTGGCCTACAATCCCAAAGGTCCAGCCCACAGGCTAATGCTGCCGCTGAGTAGGTGCCCTGCAGCGTCCTCCCCAGGTCGCACCGCCATCGCCGAGGCCCACTCAACAGGGAAGACGGGCACACGTGTCTGGCCCCTCCTGGCTCTGAGACCCAAGACTGCCTGTTGTGTCCCTGTGGCATCCCCAGCACCAGACACGGCGCCTGGCAGCCAAGGGCCCTGGAGAAAGGATGAATGTGGGGAAGACAGAGAGAAGGGGCTGGCCTTCTGACATGCTGCCTTCAAACAAGGAGGCAGCACGTCTCCCTTTCGAGGCAGGATGGCACAGGCCTGAGGGAGGGCCTCGGGCCAGCCCTGCCCTTCCCCTGCTACGAGCCCCGTGCGAGCCATTCAGCTGTCTGAGTCTCAGTCTCCTCTTGTGACACGAGGACCACACCAGCACCTATTTCATGGTTTTTGGTTTCAGAGAAGTAAATGAGTTAAACTTGTAAAGTGCTGAGCATGGCGCCTGGCACCTGGTGAGAGCTGTCCCCACGTCACATGTCATCAGCGCTGAGAGAACCCAGTGGCAATTTGGAGGAAACGCACGTGGCTATAGGTTCACACTCAATCCACACCTCACGTCTACTCAGCAGGAAAAGTCACAATACAGTTAGTTCTGAAATCAAATATAGCTAATGACAATTACTTGCTATGGAAGGTTAAGTACTTTTTAAAAATCACTTTTGTTATATAAAACGACCAAGAAGAGTCTCTTAATTGCATGGACTGGGTGGACCGACAGGAAATCAGACACCCAAAACCTGTTTTCTGCACAGCCTGCAGGGGAGCCCTGGTGCCACCGTTTGGAAGTCAAGGAGACAGGAGTCTGAACATGGCGGGTTCCTTGAGATGCCTGTCTGCAGAGGAGGGGAGGAGAGCCCCTACCTCCTCCCTGCTCAGCTCCTCCTCCTCCACAAGTGGATGGGCCTCTGCCTACTGGCTTTCTGGAGTGGCCCCCACGCCACTTCAGCGTCCTCTGCAACGACCGACCCCAGGCGCCTGTGCTGGGCTGGCCTCGCGAGGTCAGCATCAACAGGAGCAGCTGCTTGTGTCAGGAGAGCAGGTTGCCCAGTGGGATGTCAGGTCAGCAGGAGATCAGGCCATCCAAGGTCCCTGCGCGGGAAATTCCCCCAAATCCAGACTCCAAAGCATCTGCCTGATGGTTTTACAGTAGGAACATTTAAATTTCTGTGAAGAAAAATCACCAGTTTGCCAATGACTTCCTGTAAGAAAGGCCCCCACATACCTGATCTGACTTGAGCAGCCCAGGATCATCTGTGCCTGGCTGGCAGAGGTCCTGCGCGGAGCGGCTACCTCCCAGCTCCGTCACGCTCGTCTCCGATGACGAAGAGGGCAGCCCGTGGGCATAGATGTCCTCCTCGTCGCTGGACGTCAGTCCCTGGTCCCGTGAAGGCTGCCCCAGGCGAGGCTCCTGGGTGCTGGCCACCAGGGAAGAGGCCTGGGGAGCCAGTTGTCCTCCTGCACCCGCTGGGTCATACTCTGAAGCAGCCACTGCTTTCTGGCCTGTGTCTTCGTCAGTGGTAGCGTGCCAGGGACTTGAGTCAAGGTGGTCAGGGGCCCCCGCGTGCGTCAGGAAGCCCTGCTCTTGGCTGGGCTCCTCAACCCCGCCTCTGTCAGCTCTGGTCCCCGGAAGCCACCGCTCAGCACTGGGGGCCCAGCTTAGGCTGGACGGCACCGGGGGCACATCCAAGAGGGGGGCTTCAGAAAACGCGCTCTGGAGGTTGCCAGGCTCCTTGCCCTCCACCTCCTGGGCCTCAGCAGACCTGCCACCTTGTTCTTGGCAGGTGGACTGTCTGCCATTCAGCCCACCGTCTGCAGGACAGGGCTCCTCTCTGGGTTCTGGGACGTCGCCATGCCATTCCACATCCTCCGTGGAAAGCCAGGGCAAACTCAGCCCTCCACTGTGTGGCCCCACCTCGCCTGCATGGCCACTTCGTGGGAGCTCCATTGTACTGTCACGTCCCTCCTTCAATGAGTCAGGGGTGGGGCCGGGCACCTCCAGGACACTAAATGCTTCAGGGTCGCTGTACTCCGGCAGCACGCCGTTCGCCTCGCCGCTGAGGGTGCTCTCCTGGTCGGGAGACCCTGTGCTGGATCGATCCGCCGTGCTGCCCAAACTCGAGGTCATGGACAGCAGGTCTGCGTTCAAGGACTGGGGGCTACCACTGGGACACTCGCCACAGGGGGTCGACTCGAGGGAACTGTGGCAGGCACTCCTGCTTCCGCCGTCTAATTTAAAAGAACATTTGAAATTAGATGACTATGTAAAGAGTAAGACACTAATTAAAAAACAAAATTTTGGCTTAAGAAAGAAACATTTTAAATGAAGGATAATAAATGGTGAGGAATAAATCTCTTAAGCACAAACTATCCCAGTGTTTTAAATGGATGCAAATACTGTACACACTGATGGCTCTGAGCCTCCTTTAAGAAATGTTAACTAAGAAAAACAAAGGAACAGATCACAGATCAACTTGTAAAATTTTCAAAAATTATTAAAATTCTAAGGAATCTGATAACATTTTCCTTAAAAAATGCAGTGACCTTTAGTTAGAGAGACTTAATAGTCACCAAAGAATAAAAGATTAAAAAAAAATTCACTGTTGAATCCCTTAAATTAGGGGATTTAACGTTAAATCTCGTATCTGAGGACATGCTCAACACTAAGCATAAACCAGTCCATCCAAAGAGTTCCATGACTTTCCATCCAGGTTCACAGACTCTCTGGTCTAATAAGGATATACAGGAATAGACCAAAATTTTCACTTAAATATTAAAAAGTATAAAACCCAGAACTGTGAAGCAAGCTGGCACAGTCTATCGTTACTTAAACCCTCAGAGATGCTTCACCTGGGGTACAGTGTGCGAAATATTTCACGTAAAACTCCTCTGGGGAAGAAACACGTTCGCCCTCGGGGGTCTTCTGTGCCTTTGGGTGAAGGGCGAGCACCCACGTGGGGAAGCCGCGCCCCCCCACCCCCGACAGCGCGGTAAAGCGCCCCAAGTGGGCGGGGCTCCGCGCGGGCCTTGCTGCAGGCCGTACCTGTCTTCTTCTTTCTCTTCTTCTTCACTTTGAGAGGCTTCACAACAAGCTCCCGATCGAAGTCTTCCGAGCTAATCGCGCTGAACCGCTTGGTGCTGAGCTGGCTGCCCCTGCCCAGCTCGGGGGCTGCCTGGAGCCCGGAGCCGCTATCGGTGGAGTTGAGTGAGCCGCTCCTGCTCCTGGGCTCACTGGCCACGGAGCTGCCCACAGAAGCGCCTCTGAGCCTGGTCTCAGGAAGCGTGGCCCCCAGCGGCCTCTCAGCGCGCTGCGCGTGGACTTGGTCTGTGCATCCCGGTGCCTCCAGACCATCCCGCGCTGGGAGAGAAGAGTTCGGTTTTAAGACGGGTCCTCGGAGAGAAAGACGGCGTGCTCTTACTAAGGTCTGCCAGCCCTAAATACCAGCCTGCTAAACCCAGAGAAGCCAGCAAAACCAAAAGAAGTGCACAAAAGACTTCAATGGTTTTTGTTCTCTAGCAAGTTCCCGTATCAAAATCAGCACAACAACTCACCACAGCTGTCTTCTGTAAAGAACTCAAAGGGAAAGACAAGCATAGAGCATTTCTCACTTCAATTCACAAATAATTTATGAAAGAGATGCCTGTCTATTGAAAAAGGGCTTAGTGACATCTCATTTTAACCCTATACCTTGAATATGCTTTAATACTAGTCAAAGGGCGGTTGAAAAACACATGTATCTATAATAAAATTTCCTGAAGTTCAAGGAAGGAAAGGTAATTTTCCACTGGTGCAACTTCAAACAGAGAACTCCACGAAGGGGTCAGTGTCTGATGCCAGCAGAACTTGAGTCCCGGCGCTCTGTTCCCATGACAGGGGCCGGCAAGCTCCCCTTCATGGACTCATCCTCCTCCCAACATGACACTGGCAGGTTCCAGCCACAGAACCCCCAATTTAGGACCGTGGCCCTTTGTTACTGAGTATCGACTGTGTGCTGGACATGTTCTAGGGGCTGGGATACGCCCTCACCCACACAGACGGGCACTCCTGCCCTCCCGGGGGCCGCAGGGGCAGCCTGCAGGCTCGGGAGCGCACTCCGGAGACAAGCAGGACAGGGAAGTGACTCGCAGGAAGGAGATCACACAAGCTAATGCAGACCTCGGCCGAGAGCAGTGCAGTCCAAAGAAGTGGCCACCAGCCATGTGGCCATTCAAATTCAGATTAATTAAAATCTGACAACATTTAAAACACAGTCCCTCAGTCACACTCACCACATTGCCCGTACTCAGCAGCCATGTGTGGACAGAGGCCACCACCGACAGTGCACACACAGAGCACTTCCATGACCGCAGGAAGTTCTCCTGGCCTCCGGGCTCCAAGCCACTTCCCCTCTGTGGGCTGCCCTGCCCCCTGGTGACACTGTTAAGGCCCATCTCACAGACACGGGAGTCAGACCTTATTTCCTCCTCATGAAAGTGACAGCTCTGGAACGATGTTCATCCTGCCTGCCCTCTGTGATCTGAGGTAGTAATTCACTCCCTTTCATCTCTTAAAAGATTATAAATGTAGGACCAGGATAGCTCATAATTTCATTTTCACCTTTTTAGGACAGTATCTGGCTAACGTGAGAGTGGTTTTTTGGGGGGGGGTAATTAGTTTTATTTATTTTATTTTATTTTCAGGGGAGGTACTGGGGATTGAACCCAGGACCTCGTGCGTGGGAGGCGTGCGCTCTACCACGTGAGCTATCCCCTCCCCCGAGAGTTTTTTTTATACTCTCCTAGCAGCTACACTGTGAACTCCAACACTGTAAATAAAGACAAAAGGCTGCGGCAATGCCTCGTGCCAGCTGCGGATTGCACGGGGCCCGGCCCGGCAGGCTGCTGCCCCTCCTGTGCTGGAGGGCAGGGCCCCCCACTTCCTGTCCAGGGTCCCCACTCCCTCTCCTGCACTTCTTCAGACATTAGCTGACGCTGATGAGAGTAGACACAACAGTGAGGATGGCCCTGCGGCCAAGGGACCCCAGGAAACCGGCAGCGCACCCACAACTGTGTACAGGGCTGACCCTGGTGAGGCAGGAGAAACAGCGGCTGCAGCAGAAATCTGAAAGGTGACCTGGGGCTTGTCACTCACTCCCCCAAGCCTCAGTTTTCTAATCTGCAAACCGAGGACACCATTTGCTAACACATCATACTAGGGTCTTCCACAAGCCCTGTGCTGTGTTAGGGCCACAAAGGTGAGTCACAAGACCCCTGCAACCAAAAATCTATTTTTCTGTGAGGGTAAGTGGTAGGTCAATGACTGAGGTCAAAGAGCAGCAGGAAAAGGGTCCCAGGAACTCAGCGAAGAGGAGAGACTGACTCAACTAAGGCACTTGGGGGAAGCATCAGAGATGTAGTGATACACAAACAGGTCTTGAGCCACGAGGGCGGTGCGGAGAGCAGAGAGGCGTGGTGGGCAGAGGACACTGCTCCCCACGGCAAGCCACCCCTGGGAGAGCCCACCCTCTGCCGGGACACTGCAAGCGCCCCAGGGCGGGCGCCTGCGGCAGGACTGGAGGTGCCCTGCACACCCATCAGCAGGGCCCCGGGAGCACGCGAGTGAGGCAGGGCGAGGCCACTCCAGCCCCTGGGGGAAGGGGCCTGGTCAGGGAAAGGCGGGGCCTCATGTGTCACATCAGTGGTGGTGACTCTGGGCAGGCACCCCTCTCACCTAGAGACTGAGAACCTCCCACGTGGGTGGCTGAGGACTGCGTAAGGTCACGAGTGTTAGGTGCTTAGCAGAGTCTCTGGAACCTGGCGAGGATGACGCAGGGGTGATGGGGACGGGGGCCCCACAGTTGCTGCCACTGCCAGGAACACATACGTGAAGCAGTGGGGACGTGTGCACAACAGCACACGGTAAGACTCTTTAGAATCTGGGCTTATATATGAATTACAAAAAAAGAAGTCAAAACAGAGAGAATAATCAAGACACAAGGAAGAACTGTGTTAAAGGTAAAAAATACGCCCCAGATGGCAGATTTAAACATTCTGACGCCTCATGCATTAGTCTCACAGGTTGCCTCAGAGCATCGGAGATCAGTCAAGTGGGGGTGGGTTTTCCTTCCTGCTCACCCGACCGCCCCATCTTCCAAGCCCACAGAAGCAACACTACCCGACGTGAGACGCTGGCTGACGTAAGCCTGAGAGTAGGCAACCTTCAAGAAAAGTATCACAAACCGTATTTCAAGAGCCAAAGGAAACCCACTGAGTACCTCCTTGTTCAGATAAAGCTACGACCATTTAACGAGCAAATGGTAAGCTTTATACATCATTAGCGGCAATTACATACACACAGTGCATTTTATAACAAATACAAACCTATTGACGCCAGCCCTTCAGGCCTGCTGGAAATTCTTATAATGTTCCTGTCTCCCTTTAAGAAAAAGATTTCATTTTCTGTGCAGGAAACAGACACGATATCGCCCGATCCTTCCAAACCAGCAATTGTGGCCTGTCCAAAAAAAAAAAAAAAATCACAAAACCAGGCAATCCTAGTAGTTCAAGTCACACAAGCATGTGAAGGAATCCAGATAACCGCCCTTTGTTATGACGACTTTCTGGAACTTCTCTGGTGTCTCCTGACAAGCTCGCCCCCCTGGGCAACCCAGGACTCGTCCCGGCTCACAGCGCTGTACCCAGCCCCCGCCTGGCACGCCCCTCCTGGGCTGGACCAGGGGCTGGCAGGTCTGGGCCCACACTGTGTACTCCCGTGGGAGAGACTAGTGCGCACTGCAATCCGTGGTTCTGGATGAGTGAATGAGAGAGGGACGGTCCTCCTAACGTCTGGCAGCAGGCAGCAAACAAAACACAGGACATCCCTGAGCCCACACTGAGTTGAAAAGCCTCTCAGTCAACACTGCAAATAAGAGACCAGTTCACTGTAGAAGAGAAGTGGGGCCGAGTTCTTGCTCATCCTTAAATAACCCTGATGAACAGCTTTAGACTGACATCAGTTCGAAAGCTTCCAATCCTGGTGCCACGTTCAGACTGCCTGCCCATGAGCAGCCCCTGTGCCTCCGTTTCTCCACCCATAAAATGAAAGGGACTGTGCCTGTTACAGAGAGTGCCGGGTGAGTGCTCAGGAGGGAGGAACTGACTGTACTCACACTGTATCTTGAGCCCACTAATTAATAAGTGTGCAGGATGTTCAAAGAAAGGAGAAAAGTTATACTCTCTATAACCAGGAAGAATACAAAAATGCCTTTCAAAATGATCCTTAAGAAACAAACTCAGGGCTAGAGGGCACCTTGGTGACCCTTAACCCAGCTCACCCGCCCCCCACCATGCTCCGGGTACGGAAGCCCAGCCGGGAGATGAGAGACGCCTGGTGGTAGGCAGAACCAGACCAGGGTCTTCCAGGAGAAGAAGGGGTCCCTCTTCTTTCTACTGACCCAGCGGCAGCAGGCATGGCTAATAATAGTAATTAAGAAGCCTTCAGATGATGCATTTCGGTTTCTGTTGGCACACCAATTAAGAAGCCCCTTTGATTTCTATAGTGAAGCTCTGCTTAGAAAGCAGACTGTCTGTCAGAGGCCTACAGGCTTCAGGAAGGAAGAACCGAGAGGGATGGGGGGCTGAGGTGGGGAGGTTATTTACTAAACAGCAAAAGCTCTGCCCTCAAGGAGGACCTGACAGTAAACTTTTTTTAAATTCTTAAATCTGTCTCTCTTGGCCATAATCTATTATTATCCTGATTTAAACAGAAAGTGTCTCCTACTGTGATTTGATGATGCTGGAAAGTTGTCCAAGATACAACATTAACAGAAAAAAAGAGGCAAAACAACGTGGCTCCTGCTGGACAGGAAAAACAGAGGAAACCGAGGTCAAAGAACAACAGAGACAGCGCCCCCATCCTGCGCCCTCAGTGTTACCTGGGGGTCTCGAGGGAGAGTCTCTGCCTTACTGTTTCTGTCCCGTCTGAGTTTTCATTTACCGTGCTCATAGTCGTTTGGTAGTCGGAAAACAGAAGATTCAAACAGGTTATAAAGAACAAGTTTTGTTTTTTGCTTAAATTAAACACACACACACACACACAGTTTCTCAACAGGGGACAGGACTATGAATATCAAAATCAAATGTTTTTTCAAATCTACAAAAATAACCAAACTTTCATTTGATTTCCTTGCCTGGCCCAACAGAAAAAGCAAAGCATTAGAATCAGTACAGCTCCTTCCGTCATCTGAGAAATGAAGCAGAAATGTCCATAAACATTCTCTTGCCTCTAGTCACCAAGGATATGGCACGATCGCTCCATGTACCTGGTTGACGGTGTCTAGAAGGTAAATGCTGTATTCATTCCAACTCAACACCCAGCCTTCTTGGAAGAAGCAGGAAACGAGCCCCAGGTGCTTCTCGGGTGAGCTGCAACTCCCCTTGTCAGGGGACTCCAGGCGCGGGTACAGCTCAAAAGGCTTGACTCCTCCGGCAAAGACATCTTTTAAGATAAATGTGGCCTGAACGGTCCCATGGATGTCAGCCTTCCACAGCCGGAGCCCAGGCCGCGATGCGTACAAGGTTAGATCGCTTTGCTTACAAAGTCCTGGTATAAAACAGGCACCAAATTTCCCGGTGCTGAAATTACAGGAGCGGAAGAAGGAAAGAGTTAGACACGGACTGATTTAAAGTGATAGTTGTCAACCCCTGATATTAACTAAAACAAAGATTTTTGGATTAAGCCAAAACAAAATTGATTCTTTTTCAAGCCCTTTTCTGTTTTTCATATCCTTTTCTGCAGTGTTTTCTGTTAACGGAATCGCACTGCCATCTCCGGGCCCTCAGAGGGCAAGTCTCCGCCCTGCACTCCCCGCAGCCCCCTCAGAAGTGTGCAGCCCGAGCACCTGTCCGGGCGCCGCACCCCGGCTTTATCTCCACTCTCTGGTTTAATCCTCACAGCGACCCTGCGACTGCCACTCTAGGGAAGCAGAAGCTGAGGCAGAAGGTGACAAACCCAGGACCCACCACCCTCCCCTGCTCTGAAACTGTTCCCCCTAGCGTCTGCCTGCTGAGCTCACACCAGCACCCCAGCTTTATGTCCAGAACCGCAGCAGCCCTCTCAGGACCCCTTAAACCCACCAGAGGGACCGACCTCCTTCTAATCCACAGGCTTGGTATTTTCTTCTGGTTTTAAAATTATGAAACATCTGACACAGACAGAAAGCACTTCATGAAGCCCAGCAGTGAAAGGCGCGCCCAGGAACCCACCCCTCAGCTCTGGAAATAAGGCATTAGCCACACCGCTGACGGCCTTGTGCTCTGAAGTGCCTGCCCGCTGTCCCCAGGGGAGACGCCTACACTGAACTCTGTGTTTACTGTTCCCTTGCTTTTATTGACAGTTGAAGCACAGATCTAGGGACTCCTGAACACTACATAACTTAGTCTTGTTTGTCTTTCATTTGCATAAAAAACAGTATGGTGCTATTTGCATCCTTTTGCAACATGCTTTTAACTTAATATTTCTAGGATTTATCCTTGCTTAATAAAAAAGCTGTAGCTCATTCTCTTCCACTGCTATAAGGTATTTCCCAGTTTATTTATTCACCCTCTCATTGATGGTATTTGAATTAGCTCCAGTTTTTCACTCTGAACAGTGCTATGAGCGTTTCTGCAGGGCCTCCTAGTACACAGGCCTAAGAGTTTGTCAGGGATGTTTCAGGAGTGGGACTGTCGGGTTGCTGGGTAACTGCTGGTTAGATAAGAGCAAATTCAAGTCCGGAAGACAATTTCAAACTTTTCCCATTGTGTTTACACCGACCCAGACTCCCATCAGCAAACTGCGAGTTCTCACTGCTCCACATCTTTGCCAAAGCTCAGACTTCCACCAGAGTTCAAATACTAAGAGTTTCAGTTTAACCCCAAGTCCTCCTGATTCTCTCTCCAAAAGGGTTCTCTGATTTTGAACTGGCTTTAGATTGACACCTGGGCTCAATTTCCAGCCCTGACATTTAACAGCGAGGCGGTGTGGGTCTCAGTTTCCTAGTCTGTAAACTAGGGATAACAACTCCCACCTTAAAGGCTGGTGTGAGGACTGGGTGACAGAATCGATGAAGACACGGAAAGCAACACTGTGACCCTGTGAGTCCCCACAAGCGCTCAACTGCTCTGACCCCACCTACATCTCCAGCACGTGTGCGTGCTCACCACGTGCTCCCGCCTCGCCTCGCTGCACCAGCAGATCCCCGACCCCGCACAGCCACACAGAGCCAGTCATCTAGGGCTTCCTCCATACTACACCATCTCCCTATGCCCCTCTGGCACCTCAGTAACTAAAGCCCTCTGGGTGGGGTCCAAGGAGGGTATCCAACGCCAAGCTCAGCTTTGAAACAAAGATCGTCAGACTAACCAAGTGTCAACACCGTAGATCGATCATGGACAGCTCGCTAATCCACACCGCGTCTGATTCCTGTCGGCGGGATGCATTCTGCAGAGGTTCTCTAGAGACACCCAAAGAAATTCTAGAAGGGCAGCCTGTAACCTCCTCTTCCTGCCTTTCCTATCAAGTCAGTTTCTATTTGATGATCCAAGTCTTAAATCTATTCTCCTTCTATGCAAAGGTCCTCTTAAAAATCTCTTGTCACTTCCATTTTGATTTGTGCACCTTAGGTAACTAAAGCATTCACTTTAATATTTAGTGAGTTCCTGCATTATGTAAGTGACTGTGCAGGGCTGCAGGCAACTTGAAAGACAGTTAAGAAAGATCGTGGCACTATCCTATGATGTGCGCACGAACAGTTACAACAGCATCCAGGCGGTGCTGTACCTGAGGCTCGGAGAGCTGCCCGAGGAGTACAGACAAAGGGGACATGTTTCACCAGGACCTTGGACACTGAGCGGACCACGAACAGGCTGAGGAAAGGGGAGCAGGCACTCTGGGGATGGACACTCAGAGGAGGGTCCTGGCAGGTGGCTGGCTCTAAGGAACTGCTGAGTCGTGTGGGGAGCGGGTCGGGATGAGGCAGTGAAGCCGGGGCTACTAGCTACAAGCCAGGCGCAAACCGTCCTCACCCCGACTCGGCCACCGCCCCCGGCCGTGAGGCTCCACAGCGCTTCCTCATGTCATCCTGAGTTGGACACTCAAACTCCAACTTTTAAGGTCTAAGCAGGGCAGGATTCTAAAATCATGAATAAACTAACCTAGTTTCTTAATTTTGGTGGGGACAATTTCCAGAAAAATCACTGATGACTTTAAAAGAATACCTGAATTCTCTTCATGAGCCACAGTGATACGGAAAAAGGTTTTCTCGTTATCAAATTCTAACCATAAAATAGTGTTTTCTAATTTTTGTGTAATTCATGGTGCCACAGACCCAAAGCGCTGAGCGCAGAGAGCCTGATACGGGAGAACCAGCCAGAGCCCTGACAGCGATCTCGACAGCCAGACGCCCGAGGCCACCACACAGGCACGGTGCTCAGGCTGCTCCAGAACCCACCGGGGCTCTGACTGGGGTGCAGGCTCCACACGCACTCCCAGCACCGGCTGCAGCGGGCAGGTGCTGCCGAAGCAGGACCACAGGGCACGTGCACACGGCCAGGGGAGGGCGCCACATAACGCAGAGGGGGACCAAGACATAACCCGTTGGGTGGGGGCTGTGTCTGGGGAAGGTTGGAGATTTCCCGGGAGAAACACAGACGTGGTTTTGTCCAGTCTGAGGAGGTTCATGCCCTTGATCAGAAGGGGATGCCTGCATCCTCCACCACCGAGTGCCCCTGCCTGCACTGGACCCGAGCTCTGCTTTCCCACTGACAGGGCATCCCTGGCCCTATTTGGGCCTACCCCTTCCATCCCGCATGCTGTCACTCAATCCCTCCAAACTCTCGCCAGACCACACGTTCCCCTTGAGGCACACCCTAGATCTGTGTCCCGTCTACAAAAGCAAAGGCCTCCAAAAAGCTGCCTCTCCTCCATCAGCCCCTCCAACCCCCTGGCTCCATGGTCACACGGGGGCCGCCACGTGGCAGGATCCACAGGTCCAGCCCAGCCCCCTTCTCGGGGCCAATCAGTAGCTCTGACAGAGCTGATTCTGAAGGCGCTCCCTCCCCCGACAGGTAAACAACAGAATGCCCAGAACAGGAGGCCTCCCCCACTTTCTTAGTTACATTCCCTCCCTGGGTGAGCTCATTGTCCCAGAGCTTTAAATACCGTCTAAATGCTAAGGGTTCCCAAATGCCCAGCTCACCCTCCACCCACCACTCCACCTCTCGACTGGGAGGAGGAACATGCTTCCTGGTCCCCGCCTTCTCTCCACCAGGCTTCTCTGGGCCAATAACCCGCATCCCCACTTACCCAACCGCTCAGGCCACAAGTCTCTGCCTAACCTCCTCTCACACCCCAGAGCCCACAGACCCATCGGCTCTGCCTCTAAAGCCTTCCCGGCACCCCACCCCGGCTGAGTCCCCCCACCTCCCACTGGAATCACCCGGGAGCCCCGGCTACCCACGCCCGCTGCCGCTCTCGCCCTCTCGACAGCAGCGAGAGTGACTTCCCCTGGCCAGAGCCTCTCGGGACTCTCAAGGGCACTGGAGTAAGCAGCCCCTGCGCAGGGCCCACCCCCAGCCCCCAGCCCCCATCTGCTCTGCACACACTTGGTCTGGCTGCTCCTCAGACCCTCAGTGCTTCTGCCTCCAGGGCTTCCCTCCGGCCCCTCCATCCTGCCTCAGGAATGTGCTCAGGTCCCTGGCGGAGAAGCCTTCCCTTCCTGCCTACCCAAAACAGACACCATGCCCTCTGCTCTCTCCCCGCTAGCTCCACACCGATTTACTACCCGACATTCTAGAACATGTTTATTGAATGTCTGTCACGCAGGGGCACCCGGCCCACTCCTCCACAGCCACCCAGCCTCCTCCCAGCTCCTTGAACCTCCAGGCCCCGGCCCAATGCAGGGCCCCGGCACCTGCTGTTCCCTGAGACCCCTTTCCACACCTCAGCTTCAGCTCAAACACGCGCCCCGCCACAGCGGCCTCTCCTGACCTTCCGCCTCTCCTCCCTGATGCTTCCTGTCCAGCATCACTGCAGCCCAGACGTTCACCTGGCTTGCAGGCAGCGATCTGTCCCCTTGCCCATGCTGTCACGTGTGGGCCACCCAGTGGGCCACCTGCTGAACGAAGCAACACTCCCAGGAGGCAGGCACGGCCCATGCTAACGACAGTCTAATTCAGCCCACGGCAGAGACAAGCCTTCGGGACTCAGAGGTTAAGACGTTTCCACTCCTTCTGTGTTACTTCTCTAATACGCCTTCCCTAAGAGAAAGAGGGCACACTTACATACTTCTGCTTGGCAAGCAGATGCTTTTATCCAAAGCTGCCAGAACACCTGACCACACGAACGCAGCAGGAGAGGCTCGCGCAAAGCAGCTTAGGTGCCCACATGAGAGGTTAGCAGGCCAGGTTTTAAAAGAAAGACCGCTGGGCCTACGGTCCCCGCGGGAAGAAAGCGGCTTTTATAGTCCACCCTCCCGAATGACACAGCCCACGAGGCACTGACAGACGAGCTGGCACAAGACGTCCAGCTGAGATGTGGGATCCTGGCAGAGGGAAAGTCAGGACCAAGCTCTGCAGAACCACTAAGCCCCAGCTGCACATGCCACTGAGTTTCCAGGGCCCAAGAAGGAGATAACTGCTATAAAAAGACCAAACTGTTGACGGAATTAAGGAGGGTATTCAGCATGGAAGCAGGAACCACAGGGGAGGCTGATGGTGTCTTTTAACAGCCATGGGCCACCACATAGAAAAGAGAATAGACTTCCACTGTGTAGCTGCAGACAGGACACAGAATAAGGGATGCTGAGATGCCAGAGGCTGGCTCTGCCCAGCTGACCTTCCCTGACATTCTCCCAGAGCCGATGGCACCACCAGCCTCAGCCGGCCCTCATCCACCACGCCGGCACATCCTACTGTGCTCCCCACTCCCCGCAAGGCCACCCAAGCCCCCTCAGCGTTCCCCCAGCCCACGTGCCACCGGTTCTCAGCAGGCAGCGCTGCCGCCTCACCAGAATTCCTACAACTCCCGCCGTCCTCTCCCTCTTCTCCCACAACCCAAGTCCCTGCGCCCCAGCCCTCTTCTCTTCCCCTCCTCCACTCCATCTATCCCCCTCTCCACCCCCTCCACTCCACCCTATGCAAACCAGCAGCAAACCCGAGTCACAGAGCTCTACAAGAGTGTCACTGTGCGCTCTGATGCCTTTCCCCACCCGGCTGCCAGGCAGGGGGACTTGGACCAACCCTTCCCTCACTGTTCTACCTCCTGGGACCAGGCAAAGGAGGAACACTGTCTCGGCCTGGAGCCCTGAATCCTTCCAGACCCTCCCTTCCTGTCGACTCGGTGACAGCCCGTGGGAACTCCACTGGCAGCGACACAGCCAGGGACGCCTCTGCTGCTGAGTTCACTAGGTTCTCCGAGGGCCTGGCACGTGGTAGGCTGACCCGACTCCAGGCCCCGAGACCTGGCCCTCAAGGTGCAGCAGCCACACGTGCCTCCTGTCCATGCCTCAACCAGACGCCCTGTGGGCAGGCGGGCTGGGGACCCAGCTGGGCCGGCCCATGTGGGACACTCACCTTTTCCTTGGCTGTGTTCCGATCTGCTTGACGGACTGCTCTTCGGTGTAGAAAAGCAGACTTCTCTGCAGCGTGGAGACGAGCAGCACTTTCTGGCTGTAGTCCAGCTGCACGATGGAGGCCGGCTCTTCCAGCACCAGGAGGGAGTTACAGACGCCCTGCGGACAGAGTGCGGGACGGCTCTGCGGTGACTGGGATGGGACGAGGCCTTCCCAGTGACTGCATTTAGGTCAACGCAGCCCTTAAAACGTACGCTTTAATTCTCATCGGATTCAGTACCGACTGAATGGAAGCGTCCTCACTGGTGAGAAAACGGTGTTAGTGTCTTCGGCTACATCAAGTTTGCCAAGAAACATTTAAACGCTCTGTACAATTTCTTTTAAAATGTTCTCAGTAGATGGTTCAAAGAAGAATCCATTAAGACCTAAGCAGAAATACGCTGCATCATGTATATCATTTATTCCAAGAGAACACAATGGGACCTTCTACAAAATTCCTGTGACAACAATCAAAGTCCGTATTCCAGTCTTCCCCCACAAAGAGTTCCGAGCAATTCTGGGGACATTATATCCTTGCCCACTGAAAGGGTCAGAGGCAATAGGCTAGAGAGAAATTAAAGTCGCACTAAATATATTAAGAAATACAGTAAAATTCTAGAAGGTATTTTACTGCTAACACAAACTGTATTTCTTGGACTCAAATATCTGCTCCTGTACGTCATTCTTCTCCAGAACCTGTGTCTTTAATTGTTCAGGAAATACTGATGCAACGTCATAGACCTTTGAGGGGGAAGAAGGAGCAGCAATCAGATTTACGGGTAAAATTTACATAGAGTAAAATGCACCCTTTTTAGATATAAAATTCTATGAATTTTGACAAATGCACACAGTTGTGTAACCACCAACACAATCAAGATAGAGAAACTCTCATTCCTCACGAAACAGCAAGGACTTTTAAGCCAGATTTCCCGCCTACCTGTGCAGTTATGCAGATGTGGCTTTTCAATTTCTGACTTAGCTTGTAATGGAATTAAATGTATTGTACTGTATTTTGCAAAAACACACATCTTCCCTTGTCTTTTTTGCAAGTCTCATGGAATACCTGTGTCTTTTAGAAAAATTATCAGAACCTCAATAAGCTGGGAAAAAATGATCAGTGTGCTCAGGACAATGGCTTCTGCACATGATTTTCTCTCCGTTTCTGGAAACGGTGCCTAAGCAGTGCTCCCTCGGGGCCGCCCATGGGCTGGGGAGTGGCAGCAGGAAAGCACAAATACAGGGGACCCTTCACATCTTTACAAAACACTTCCCTGTGGAGTATAGTTCTCAAAGTGTGGTCCATGGTCCCCGAGGGTCCCTGTGACCCGTCAAGGTCAAAACCACTGTCATTAAAAAACTGGATTTTTTACCTGCCCTTTTGCTGAGCTGACATCTGTGCTGACAGTACAGACCCACGGTGGGAGAGCTACTGGAACCTCAAGGGGGCCCGAGCTGAGCAGGGCACCAAATGGCACGCTCGGCTAACCCTTGACACTCGCAGCCAAAACATTATTTCACTTCCAAATGTCTTTATGCAAGAAAACAACAATTTCATCAAATCATGACCCTTGCACACATCTTTGTGTCTGTGTGACAAAACGGGGCGTGCACACAGCGCGCCTGCTGACACGAAGCCTCTGGTTCTCTTGGAGAAGCACCTGTGCACTGCATGAGCTGTGAGCTCAGGCAGTCGCTTCCTTGTCACAGAACGCCATTCTTAATTGAAATACTGTAATTATTCACATTTGGGTATATGGCAGACATTTCCTCAGAAAGAACAAAGCGAGCCTGTCGCTTCAAGGTAAACAAGTGATAGTATTTGTTGTTAATAATAAAATTCAAGTTTACAAGCGAAGATTAGAATTTGAAAACTTGTATCCACCCCTGCGAACGTGGCAGACTTCCAATGGTTAAAGAATTTTTTCATTAGAATGATGGTGGAATTAACAAGGGTGATTTCTTTGATATTATATAATTAAGTGTGTTAACATTTCTAAGATCTCCATCTCAGTGGGTCAATATTTTCCAAGTGACCAATGCATGCTACAAAATCACACATGGGTCAAGGAGCCATTCAAAGTTTAAGGTAGACCAATGGATTTCCCTGTAACAGAGCACGAAAAACTCACCCACGTGACTTCAGATTTCATGTTGTGACCAACCTTTAAAGAAACTACTATTGATCTGGGGATATGATCAAATAAGAACATCCACAGTTCCCTGAAAGGAAGGGCAACTAAAACACTCCTCCCATTTCCAGCTGTGGTCTGGCAGACCGTCTTCACGTACTCCAGCCAAAACAATGCATTATGACAGGTTAAATGTAGAATCCAGCTGTCTTCTATTAAGCCAGAATTAAAGGGATCTGCAAAAATGTAAAGCAATGCCACTCTCCTCACTTGTTTTGAAAATAGTTATTTTCACAAATATGTTATTTATGTTAACACATAATGAGTTTATTAGTTCAAAATAAAGTTAATAAATCTTTTTTAATTTCTAACCTAGTGCACTCAGTAGATATAAACTCATACAAACAAAAGCTCTTTGGGGTCCTTTTTTTTAAAAATGTGAAGGGATCTTGAGATCAAAAAGTCTGAGAACTCAGTACCTCCTCCAAAGAATAAATAACTAAACCCAATTACCTTCTCTCCAAAAAACAACCAAAAAAAGTCTAAGAACTACTGCTAGAGAATATTTGCAGTCAGTCTTGGAGCAGAGTGGCCTGGCTAGTAACTGCTGAATTCCTAGATGCACTAGGAATGATGACTACAAGTGAGAAGACAAATGGCCTGTGTCTGCAAGGGGCCCACTCCAGCTGGGCAGACATACGGCACAATGAGTGAAGCCCAGGCGGCCGTAAAGCCACGTTCGCAGTGGGAAAGGCATGGTGTGGGAGCAGGCCCTCGGTCTGAGGTTGAGCTGTCAGGCTTGCGCCCCTGACCAGTGGCAAGTCCCCACCTGAGGATTTGCACACCTAGCCCAGGGTGCTGCTGTGAGGCATAAACAAAATAACCAGTAAGAGGGTGGGGCTGGGCCCCCTGCTGCCACCAAACCCCCTGCTCCTCTGCCATCAGTCTCTCCCACACAACCATGGTTTGGCCGGGCCAGTGCTCCAGCCACTAAAAGCACTGACTTCCATTTACAGTGTGGACAAAGAACGCTGCCTGCCATATCAGTAAACATTCAAGGCTGCTGGGAACCTGAGGCCATCAGCCACAGCAGCCAATGGGCACCCTAAGGGAACTTAGGATGGAAGGAACAGGATGTTGTCCCTAGAGTGTTAAGGTGCATCTCGAAGGGATGATTTCAATGAGCCCAGACTCTTGCATCTTCCCAAACATAGGAAAGTGCTAAAGTCATTAATTTGAGATGTTTGTTTTTTCTTTGATTAGCAGAAACCCTTTGATGTTCAACCACCTGGTTTGTTTTTACACAGCTCCTCTCTGTCCTGGCTCCTCCCTGACCTCTCTGGAGCCGTCCCTCAGAGCCACCTGAGAGCTGTCTGCCCTGCTCAAGTCCTCAGTAAGCCCACTGAATAAAACATTCTCAGCTTTCAGGTTGTTCCTTTTTTTTTTTTTCTCAGTTAACAATAATTATGACTGTGAGATGCTTCACGCCCTCCTACAAACCTTTCAAGGAATCAGGATTGATAGCGGCTCTTTTCTAAGAAGTAGCAATAAACAGCAGGAGAATGGAGAAATAAATGTTCCAGTAGAAACAAAGGCCAATTCTTTAGGCACAGAAGTAGCTTATAAAGCATTAGAAAAGTCCTTGAAAGAAAATGTTACAAATAATAATTGAGATTAGAAAGGGACAGCAATCAAGAATACAAACTGACCAACTAAAGATACAATTACGAATATAATTTCTTTAAATGGAAGGCCAACAACATTTCTGAAAATAATTTTACCTGGTCTAGATCCAGAGAAGAATAGACAATTTTCCCTTTGTCATCTCCAGAGAACAACTTCATTCCATTGGGGCTCCAAGCCAAAGCTGTTACGCTATTTTTGTGAATACCAGTGACATCAAATCTCCGAAGCTACAAATAAATGACAAAAACACACACAAGAAGAGAAAAGGATGAGCACTGTGAGAGGGAGCTGCATGGACGAGCTGGGACGCACTCCCTGCTGTTGGTGGAAGAGCACGGCACAGGGGCCCATCCGTCTATTCATCTTTGAAGCTGACAAGAGAAGAGCCAGAGAATATTAAGCAAAATTTAAATGAGCCATGTGTGCTTTCTGCCGTGTCCTACCAGGAACAAAGATGTTACCAGATTATAAAGAGCACAGTGCTAGGCTTTTCTGAGCACATATTTTCTCAGCAGATGAGAGTTTCTCATTTAAAACACATGAGGAATCTGTCAAAAAGTTAAGGGATGCTAAAATGATCAGCACGTACCTGTTTATTTCTACCGGGCAAGGAGGACACAAGTTGAAAAACGGCAACCCTCCCGGAGGCTGTCCCTGCGGCCACGAGGTCATCAAAGCAGCTCAGCAGCTTCACCACTGTGATGGACTCCGTCCTCCCCTGAAAGAGGACACGTTCAGCAACACAGGGCCAGGCCAGCTTTCAGAACGGAAGCCATCGCCCATCAGCGGAACGGAATGCTCACTGGACTGCGGCCTGCGCTTCCCTCAGTGAAAACGTGCACAACCCAGAAAGGTAATTAAACCCGTTCGAACCTTGTTCTTTCCAAGTTGCTAATCTTTGAAATGACATTTAAAGCTGCATTTCTGAGGCAGGAAATGCTGGCCGACCAGGTA